GGAAAGAACAAGCCGGGGCCGTAGCGGCTGGGTCTCGGGCCACTGCTCTGCAGCCCCCACAGGACAGGCCGCCCCAGTGACACGCCCCTGCACTCCCAGCGCCCAAGCGCGCCCTCCTGTGCCGGCGAGGCGGAAGTCGCTGGCCGGTCTCTAGAACCTGGTAATTATCCTTAGAGATGAAAACCTCGGAAGTGTTTTCTACAAGTACTGTTGGAAACTGACCTTAGATGTCTGAAGGGGTCATCCTATTTATCCCACTTTTGCCAGAGACACAACTTGGGTAAAACGTAAGTGGCAATGAGTGTGTTCGCACCACCGCGTTTTACCGTCTCGTGTCTAAAATGCTTCAGTGAAAGCCGCGGGGCCGGCTGGTGCCTGGTGGTTAAGGGGCTGGACCTCACGGGGCTGTTGTGAGGCTGTCAGGGACAGACTGAGATGGAAAGTGAGATCACCCCCGGGGGGATGGCCACGCGGCAATCCTGTCCCCGTTCTCCCAGGACCTCGGGCACGCGTGCCTGGTGGTTAAGGGGCTGGACCTCACGGGGCTGTTGTGAGGCTGTCAGGGACAGACTGAGATGGAAAGTGAGATCACCCCCGGGGGGATGGCCACGCGGCAATCCTGTCCCCGTTCTCCCAGGACCTCGGGCACGCGTGCCTGGTGTGCTTTTCAAGGCACTGGGTCCCAGACTCGAACCACGGTCAGCGTGTGGGAGTCCAGCGACGTAACCACCACATCACCCGTGGCCCCATCTTATCTATGCAACGAGGAGCCGTGGCACAAGGACCGGGAGACAGCTCAGTGGCTGGACCACGCAGCAGCTCCAAAGCACTTCTCAAAGCCAAACTTGTTCCAGAGAGGTAGTGGTCGCTGCCCAGTGGGTCCGGTCCACCGCAGCTCCTCAGTCCTGGAGAAGCCAGCGCAGAGAGGACTGTGCTCAGATATCACCGAGCACGGAACCGCAAGACCCGCCCCTAGTCACATGACCAGCGCTCACCGCCCTCCCGCCACCTCTGGCTCAGTGACGTTCTGCAGAGGAAGCGCCTCCCCAGGACACAGGGCACGTCAGTCCCTTGGATCCTAACGCAGCCGTTCACACCGCAGGGATAAGCAAACTTGCTGGCAAAGACAGGATTGCAATGGCTCTCTCTCTGAGCCTAGTTCTAAGCAGACTTAACGCTCCCGTCCAGAACCACGCGTGCTTCTGCACCACCCCAGCATTGTCTTTGGACAGTGTGACCTGAACAGCTATGGAATGCCTTAAAGGAGTTCAAGTCAGGTTGCTTAGAGATAAATGAGTGCTCATACAGAGTATTTCTAAAACACTCAGTAATACAGTGACAGGCCGTGTGTGTGTGTGTGTGTGTGTGTGTGTTTTAAGAGGTCTTTGGCCTTAGGGCCCGTGTGCTCTCTGGAGAGAGACAGAGACAGTGAGAGGGAAAGTGAGAAATCACTCTGTAGGGGGATGGCCATGCCAGAACCCCTTCTCATCCAGGGATCTTGGGCACACACACACATACACCTGGCATGATTTTCAAGCCACCGGGTCCGGGACTCACACCACAGCCATGTGGGAATCCAACAGCGTAACTGCTATGCCATTTGCTGACCCCATCAAATGTTCTTTTAAAGTTCACACTATCTAGGATAACCTTCGGTGAATAAAGCTAGTTCTGATTGCTGATAAAGTAAAAGCTAAGTATCCTCAGAATGGCACAGTACTGACCAGTGCAGACACTGGGGTCAGCACACTCGCAGACCACGGACCGCACAAAGCTGCAGGGGACTTCTAAGCTTGTACTTTAATCCCATTCTCCGTGAAATTTCTGAAGCCCCATTGCACATTTTCTACCTGGAGTGACAATTCAAACCAGACCGTCTGTGAACCCGCCCAGAGGCTGCACCGTGCGGCATGGTCAGCTGCACCACGCGTGGCCAGGATGGGAAGGTGACGGAGGACAGAGCCCACTCTGGGTCACGGGCACATGCAGCACCTGGTGTGCACAGCGAGGTCTGTGGCCATGAGCTGGGAACCTTCCTGGTGGGGCTGCACCACGTCCCCCGTCCTGGCCCACAGGCTCTCCATGAACGCGAACTCTGGGCCAGCCTGTGGCTTAGTCGGGACAGCCAGCTCACACACCGAGTCCCGAACCCAGAGGCTGGAGGACCACGCCAACACGCACGTGTGCTGCGGGAGATGGAGGGGCTCCAGCAGGCCCATTCCAGCTAGGGTGGGGACTTTCTCCTCCCCTCTGGTGAGAGCACAGCAAAAAGCGAACTGAACAGGTTTCTGTTTTGGGGACTTCCTTGCGAAGGCTCCTTGTCACTAATGCGTTAGCCCTCCTCTTGCTACTCATTCTGGTTAGGTCTCGGCCACAGCGCCCGTGAAGCCACCTTACCTCTCCACTGCGGGGGCGGGGGACAGGCAAAGCTGCAACTCCCGTGCCAGGCTGGCTGCAGGGTCACGATCCCTCCAGGGAGGCAAAGGGAGCCCTCTACAGGCTGGGTGTGTCCCTCCCTCCCCTGACATCAGCTCAGGGTACCAGGCACAACTCCTGGACTCCAGACCCAGCAACCTCCAGGAGCTCAGTGGCGACCCAGTCTGCCTGTTGGGTTGAGACCAGGGCTGAGCACTGTCGGGCTGTGGCTGGCTCCTCCACTGACGCAAGTGCCTCAGGGCCCCCAGGGGGGAGGCAGGGGCTGCCTGGCAGTACAGCACCCTGCCTCCTGCTCTCTGGCACTGCCCCTCCTGGGGAGAGAACTCCCCACCCATCCTCAGCCCCCTCCACCTGGGCAGGGCCTGGGTGAGGCTGTCCCCTGCGGACTGCCGGCACCTGGAGTGGGGGATCAGCTCACAGACCAGACCCCCACCCTGAAGCTCGGTTCACAGTGCAGTGAAGGGTGGCACAAGCCTGCCTGTCACCCAGCTCAGTGGTTCCCACCCATCAGTAAGCGTCCCTCATGGCATATGGGCAGCCCTGCTGGCCACTTGGGGTGTCCAGCTGACCACCTGTCCTGCCTTGATTGAGAACAGAAGCCCATGACACGCACACTTGGGAGCACCCCACTGGCCAGCTCACCCGTGCCACCACTGCTCCTGTGCCCTGACCTGGGCTGGGCTCCCCGTGGCGGGCAGGTGCTTCCAGAGCCCGGCAGCCATTCCTCTGCCTTTAGCATATACTGGGACCCGGCTGCCAGCAGCCAGCAGCCAGCCTCAGCCCTGTGCACCTCACCATCCAGGTGGAGCTCACCAGGGACCTTCAGAGGGTACAGGTGCAGTTGCCCACACCAGCCTCTCTACTCCACAGGTCAGGGCACCTAGCCTTCCTCACTCCCAGGCTGTGTCCCCAGGACTGCCGGCTGTCCCAGGAGGTGTGTCCACCCCAGGCTGTGTCCCCCAGGACTGCCGGCTGTCCCAGGAGGTGTGTACGCCCCAGGCTGTGTGTCCCCCAGGACTGCCGGCTGTCCCAGGAGGTGTGTACGCCCCAGGCTGTGTGTCCCCCAGGACTGCCGGCTGTCCCAGGAGGTGTGTACGCCCCAGGCTGTGTGTCCCCCAGGACTGCCGGCTGTCCCAGGAGGTGTGTACGCCCCAGGCTGTGTGTGCCCCCCAGAACTGCCGGCTGTCCCAGGAGGTGTGTCTGCCCCAGGCTGTGTGTCCCCCAGAACTGCCGGCTGTCCCAGGAGGTGTGTCGGCCCCAGGCTGTGTGTCCTCCAGGACTGCCTGCTGTCCCAGGCTCCCTGAGCAGCAACACGCCTCGTTCCACCCAGGCCTGGGCCACAACCCTGAGGCAGACCTTGTAGATGGCCTTGCAGCAGGAGCCCAAGATAGGACACCAAATGCAGGCCTGGGAATAAGACCACCATGTGACCACCACCCAGGGGCTGAGGTCCAGGAGCTCCTCGGGCAGACGGGGGCTACACGTCCACACAGATGTGGGGGTTGCCAGCTGCGGCTGCAGATTTATTTCCCTCTGGTGCAAGGCTGGGCATCAGGGGCTCAGGAGAGCGTGGGTGTGGCCTGGGTGTGCGGTGTGGCTCTGCTGGCTTCCCTTCCTGGGGCTGACTGTGATCCCCAGAGCTCCTCCTGGGCCCCTGGTCTGCAGGGCAGGCGCCTAGCCCCGGGAACGGGCGGTGGCCGCTCAGCTCAGCTCAGCTCAGGGCGGGGGGCCGGCGGCGGTGGGGCTGCGGGGCTGCTTCCTCCCCGCCAGGGCCGAGCCACAGGTGATCAAGCTGCCGGGCGCCTGCGGGGGCTCTGAGTGCTCCGGAGACTCCAACACGGTGGCCATGAACGGGAGCGTGGACTTCCCGAAAAAGAAGCTCGCCCACCAGTGCCCAGGGTCAGCCTTGGGGAGACCTGAGAAAGAAGGGGGGTCACGGTACCAGCGGCTGCTGGGCGGCCCGCGGGCGTTCCCGGGGCGGGGCGCGCACTCACCGGGGGAGCCGCTGGAAGGGATGGCCGCCATCTCCCGCTGCGGCGCTGGGGCCTGCACACGCGCGGCCGGGCCTGCGGTCACGGGGCTAGCTAGGGAAGGCGCCCTGCCCGGACCGCCTCCTCCCCGCCGGGCGCGGGCGGTTCCAACCAGCCCGAACCGGCCGCGCCGGC